GTTTTAAAAATAATAAATAAAATTAAAACAAAGGCAACTGGCTATGACGACCTGAATATAGAAATGATAAAATTAACGATACATCGTACACTACCCATAATCACCGCAATAATAAATCAATCAATAGAATCAAACATATTCCCATCTGACTGGAAAAGGGCTATAGTAAAACCCATACCAAAAAGAAACTGCATAGAAGAATTTAAAGATTTGCGTCCGATTTCGATATTGCCGGTGCTCTCCAAGGTCATAGAGGAGGTGGTATTAAAACAAGTTCTAAGTTATGTGGAGAGGATGGAAATAGTGCCTAAATTTCAATCTGGCTTCCGCAAGGGACATGGCACAGAAACAGCACTTCTCCATGTGACTGACGATATAACGGAGGCTGCAGATATGGGTCTGAGTACTATAATGGTCCTACTCGACTATTCTCGAGCATTTGATTGTTTACATCCGGAGCTGCTTCTTAAGAAACTAGAACTATATGGATTTTCCGTGAATGCCTGCACGTGGTTCAAAACCTTCCTACTCAATAGGGAACAAATTGTTATTACTGAATCAGAGAACGGTGAGAAAAGGTTATCCTCGCCAGGGATTCTTCAACAAGGAGTTCCTCAGGGATCGCGTTTAAGCCCCACTCTCTTTAACATATTTACTGCAGACCTCCCTAAACATATAAATTTTTGCAAATACCACCTTTATGCCGATGACACACAGTTATACTATTCCTTTAAAGGCAGTGATATTAGCGACGCCATAGCTAAAATTAATACTGATATTAGTAATATCTACGACTGGTCGCAAAGGAACTCGCTGGTTCTAAATGCGAATAAGTCTCAGGTGTTAGCTTTAGGTACTAAGAAACAAATACAAATAGTACTTGATAGCAGAAATAAAGTGCAAATAGACGGAGTTTGTCTTGAACAGGTTGGAGCAGCGAGAAACCTAGGATTGATACTGGATGGGGAACAAAAGTTTACAGAGCATGTTAACCAAAAAATAAGAACTGCCTTTTATAAGCTGAAGACCCTTTATAAAATAAGAGCGTATATCAAAGAGGATCTACGGTTGCATCTAACAGACCTGCTCCGTACTCTCCGCATTTAACTACTGCAGTAACGTTTATGGCCCAAGAATAAATAGTAGTACAGAAAGAGCTGTGCAAAGACTCCAAAATGCCTATGTAAGATTTAGCTTTGAAATTCCCAAAAAACAATATGTTACTCCATCCCTGAACCGACATAATTTACTCAACATGAAAGGCAGAAGGGAACTCCAATATGCCTGTACTGTTCATAGAGTGATATGGAATAAAAAGCCTGAATACCTATATGAAAAACTTTCTTGGCGAACTGAATGGGCCCTCAAACCGCTTCGTTCTGCAGCACAAAGTCTTCTCAGAGTTCGTAAACATAAATCTATTCGCTATAAGGGGTGTTTCAAGTATTCCGCGGCAAAGATTTGGAACGATCTTCCACCGCCTCTAAGAATAAAAACCAGTGGCCAGAATTTTAAAGCTAAGTATAAAAAGGCGTTATTGCAAAAACAACTTGCAGCGGAGGACTTGAGACACGCACACTGGAAAGATTTGCCTTTGATTCGGTTTTTCCACCATGTCTAACCTTCTTAGTTTCTGAAAATTTCTATCAATTTGACGCATGTACCTACACAATATACAATTATTTACCACACCCGCATACACACACACACACACACAGACACAAACAATCAGTACACTCCAGGACCCACATTTCACATAAAGATATAAGAGCAGTACCTTCTCTATTTAGTTTGTAAGAATGCAAGTTTTTTTGTGTAATAGTTTGGCAGTTCTTTATTACTGGCTGTGACCCGCATAACATCGCAGGGAAAAGGTTGGGGCTGAAAACCAGCATGGACCAGGGCATACCTTGGCTCCGCTTACGCTGAGCCTCGTCCTCTTGCCTCCACTTAATGTTATATTAAGATACTTGTAATTTTGTTTTTCCTTTAGGTAGTACGTTTTAATAAGTGTATCATAATTTGGAGGCAATAAAACAGTTATTATTATTATTATTATATGGAACCGTCTTTTGAGGAAATTAAATTAATTTTTTCATGCGCAAATTTCAAAAACTTTGCTACTTCATATCTTTTTTTTTACTTAAAATAGTGATCTGGGAATTGAACTCTTGCCTTTATTAGGGTTTAAATAATTGATTTATGCAAAAACCTTAAGGTGTAAATATTTTTGGTTCTATAAAACACTGTGCCCCGGCGTCACGCCAATGTGGTGTAAAATGTAATTCCCATAGTCTTCTATCTTCTCCCCATATCTTCTCAATTCGCTAATTCCTATTATGTCCCATTTTATTTCTGATATGGCCGTTTCAAGTTCTTGAAGTCTCTCAGGTGTCCTTAACGACCTTGAGTTAAATGTTGCTATGTGGATATCAGAAGTTGTTTTATTTATCTTTAAAGGGTCTTGGTCTTTTTCCCCCACGAGGACCAGTCGGCTTGGGGGAGGGTGTGTTGTTATAGTTGTTTTTTCTTTTTGGTTGTGTTCTTGTTTCCGTTCGCCGATAGTTGATTGCTATTGTTGTTTTCCTATTGGTTGGGATGTAAGAGAATTAGATCGAACTCTCATCAAGTCAAATGCATTTGTTCTGTGAGATTTCGTAGAGGATGTCATCTGCTGTTTCTTTGGTTGCGGATTAGCATACGGGGAGGCAGATGGTTCTCTTTTCCTTTTATCATTAACGCCTGCACTTTCTTTAACAATGAGTTTATCATATTTAAGGTAGGCTATGTTCCCTTTATTACGTTCTTCTTTTAGTTGTGGGAGTAATGCCTTCCTCTTCTCTAAAGTTTCTTTGGTGTAATCTTCAGAAATATGCAACTCCTTGGAATTTTTCTTGTTTTTCAGAACTGCGCTCTTCCGCTAACTATTGATAAAGGATACGAGTGTAGGTCTCGGTTTTTCTTTGTTTATTGAATTTCCAATACGATAGATTTTGTTTATCTCAAAGTTTTCTATTTTTATGTCCAACTCTTCCTGGAATTTTTGCTTTGCATTCTCTAATAGTTCTGTTATAGATTTCTCACCCTCTTTCAGACCATAGATTATTATATTGTTGCTTTTCTTGTCTTTTTCTAAAAGTTGTATCTTATTTTCCAGGCTTTCCAACTTAAGTTTTAAATTTCTATTTTCTTCTAACATTGGTTTCAGTTTTTCATCCATTTTCTCCATTATTGTATTAGTTATAAACTCTGTTTAGTTCTGCATTTCTATTTTCATTTTTTCAAAGAAAATTTGAAATTGAATATCCATGATTTTCAAGTATTTTTTTGCGCTGGCAACACTGATGTCTGTGACTTTCGCCGACTATGACACACAGTTGTTTGACAGTTGTCTATGGTTTGTTTGGTTGGTAGTGCCAACGTAACTGTGCATGTAATCCGTTATAATAACAAACTAACCTCCAAATTCTGTCGGTTTTCTTCTTTCAATATTATTATCGGGTGATATAGATACACAATGTTGATTATTTCCACCACTCAGTATCACTAAGTTTATTACTTGGAAACGATATCTTAATGAAAAAAGTAACTGTAAGTATGTTGTTTTGATTTTTGTTTCGGAGCAACAATACGAAGGTGTTAACAATACAAATACCGGAACCGGAAAAAACATACGCAACAGTCTATATCATGTATAGAGACTGCTCAATCTCAAACGTAATAGTTCTCATTGGTTTGGCTACCCTGCGCGGCGACAACACATGCCGTCGGAACGTACCTTAAGAGAACATTCACTCGGCGTCTTTGTTTCATGATATTTCATAATACAGCGCTGCGTGAGGCGGGTCTCCCGCGCAGTGCCGTTCTATGAAATTACAATAAAACTGCACGAGGTGCGGACGTCCGATCCGTGATTCCACTGAACGCAACGCAGGTCGTAAAAACACAAACAGAAAATAAAATATATATAATAAAAAAATCTTGATCGACTTCAGAATAACTGCATTCGATTTGTTTTCAATGTTAGAAAATATGACCACGTGTCCGCATACCGATCTCTTCTAAAATGGATGCCTATTAGGCAGCGCAGAAGTATGCGGGCTCTGACCACTCTGTTCTCCTTGTTGGATTCTCCAAATGCCCCTTTCTATCTCACTTCCCAATTTCAGTACATATGTACCTCTCATGCTAAAAATCTTCGATCTTCTTCTAACCGCTTACTTATTGTTCCATCTCATCGCTCTGATATGATTCACTCGTCCTTCTTCGTCAAAACTATACTTCTGTGGAACGAACTCCCCCTAGATATTAGAATGTCCACCAACAAAATTAGCTTCAAAACCAAGCTACGAAGCTTTTTCCTGACAAGCAGTCTAGCGTAAACGTTAGTCGTCATCATTATGTATTAGTATGTATATTTATATGTGTATGTATGTATGTATATGTATAGTTATTTATATGTAAGTAATTATTTATGTATGTGTGATTATATATATGACTGCTTCATATTTATATATATATATATTTTTTTCCAACACACACCAATTAGCCTAGCCCCAAAGTAAGCACTATAAGGCTTGTGTTATGGGATACTAGGGTAACGGATAGAATACACATACTTTACATATATAAGTATATTTATATAGAAATACATATTTAAACATCTATGACTGGAGTACAAATGCTCGTGTTCATCACACAAATATCTGCTCCCACCGGGATTCGAACCCGGGACCTCTCGAGTCGGCGACGCCATGAAACCCGGCGTACAAACCACTCGGCCACGGAGGTCGTCAATATATGTTCATATTTATATATGTTCGCCTTTCTGTAATTTCCATGTAAGTTGTGCACCCTACCACTATTTGTCCACAACACCCTATGGTTGACTTTTAGAGAATGCCTATGGCATTGAGTCCGCCTTTGTACACTTGTGCATTAAGTATAAATAAATAAAAAAAAAAATCTCCAGCGATCCACAACAATAAGTAATACATTACCCAGGATCTGAGCGCAGGTGTCGAGGCAGTTCTGCTGCGACAGGAAGTTGTTCCGGTTGCCACGGCAACCGCCGTATGCGAACGGAACGCACATGCCCTTCATGGCCACAAACGCCCAGCGCTCGAACTGGCCCCGGCAAGGGCCCACCTCTATACCCTCCATGCAGATCTCTGCGTGGACAAACACCAATATAATAATAATAATAAATTTATTGCTCAATAACAGTAGGCACATGAAAGATGGAATACCCTGATTTCCAAGCTAGGATAATCAATAAATAAACAATAAAAAAAACGACGGGTTGCACTCCGGGAGTGCCGGCAGAAGTGAAAACTTGAATATTAACGTTGTGCATTTTTGATATTTTGGAATTGTTAGGGAATAATTTTGCACGAATTGCTTTAATTATCAGTATAAAAGTGCTATCATGTATGTGGTAGAATACAATATTTATATATTGTCCTATCGTACACAAACATGACAATTTATATGACACTAAAAAAGTTATCTCACAGAAAAATCAACTTACATGAATCACGTTTAAGCGCACTTAGCGACATCTATTGTAAAGAAACCAACTTACAATAATCACATTTAAGCGCACCTAGCGACATCTATTGTAAAAAAATGCATTTTGGTGGACGTGCTAGATAGAGACTTATTATTATTATACGGTGAAATCAAATATTACTATGTTTCATCCAATATATTGAAAGTCAACAACCTTTCCAATTTTATTGTGTGTCATGATGCGATCAGCCCACGTGTTTAACCTGACGCGAGTTTAACATTTTTTGCCCATACAAAAAAAAGTGTACAACGCCGCTAAAGAAGTTTTCACTCTAATAAAATATTTTTCCGTCACAACAGAGATCCGTAGGTTGTCTTGTTATACAATTCCAATGTTGTGGCTCCTCTATTTATGATGAACTTGTGCCTGAAATAGGTTTCAGCAATAGAAACCTGTGCTACAGGTGACCCAATCACATAACAATTTTGTGTTACATTAATCAGAAGCTTCTTCCAAAGGCATCTTGAAAACTAAATTACAATTAAATATTTCATGTCCTCATAGCTCGATAGCTCGATGGCGCAAGTGGTTAGCGCTTTCGGCTGCGATCGTTGAAGTTAAGCAACTTTCGCAGTGGTCGGTCATTGGATGGGTGACCAAAAATTTACTATCTCGAACTCCTCCGTGCTTCGGAAGGCACGTTAAACCGTTGGTCCCGGCTGCATCTGCAGTCGTTAGCACCCACCAATCCGCACTGGGTCCGCGTGGTGGGTCATGGCCCAATCTCCCTATTCCATCCATAGGGAAGGCCTGTGCCCCAGCAGTGGGGACATTAATAGGCTGATGATGATGAGGATGAAAGGTATGTAGGGTTTTTTTTTATGTAGAGCAGTGTGTCTGTCGTGAAATAAGTGTGTGTTATTCAACTCACGTTTAGCGGTGATCATGTCGACATCGCAGGTGGGTTTCAAGGTGCAAGGCTGGTGCTGCAGCAGCTGCACCTTATCAGCGCAGATGAGCTGCCTCTCCGGCTCCACCAGCAGTAGGCGCGTGCGGAACTGAGCCCCGGCGCCGCACGACGCCGAGCACGCGGACCATGCCGACCACGGGGTGGTGGGGCAGGAGGGGTCGGTAGCTTCAACTTGTTCCTCCGTGCACGGAGCCTCCATGCACTTGTGGGTCTCCTCTGTTGAGGATAATTGTTCGGCGTTTCAGTTCCGGGTTTATCTACGTCTCGAGCTTGTGATTTGCTCATAATGGAGGGTTTTTGAAGTTATACTTCTTTAGGCGCGTTATGAAAATGATGAGAGTGAAATTTTAAGATGCGCGCGCATCACTGTAACACAAAATTTTAACAGCATGAACTTCATGCTGTTACTTTTGTGTTTACCGCACATTAAGAAAATCTACCAACAAAATAGAAATAGAATCTCTATTTAATGGCTGCTAACGACTGCATTGTGAAGGCCTATCAAAAGTATTTATTAATCTGGAACAACGGAACCAAAGCGCGATTCAGGAGACTACAGCGCCATCTCTTGACCATTGGTGTAGTAGAACCAAAAACCACATCTTTATTTTTTGTAATAAAGTAACAGTTATAGGTATTCATATTTATAATATCAAAAGTATTTATTAATCTGGAACAACGGAACCAAAGCGCGATTCAGGAGACTACAGCGCCATCTCTTGACCATTGGTGTAGTAGAACCAAAAACCACATCTTTATTTTTTGTAATAAAGTAACAGTTATAGGTATTCATATTTATAATATTTATCCACATGTTTCTAGTTTGTATATATATTCGGAATACGTGTTTGAGTTTCATACAAGTGCAAATCACATATGTTCTAATAAATTATATTCAGTAGCGATTTTAATTGAATATTTTGATTATTTATTTATTTTTTCAAATTAAAACTGAACTTTATTGACTGTGTCCTTTTCCAGACTTTTTATTAATTTATTGTAATTAATTATTTGCATGCAATTAAAAACTAATTTTAATCGATGCCAAAGAAGGATATCTTCTCACGCGCCTACATAAATAAGTACACGCACCCATTTTCTTTATTTATTTGATCACCAACAAAGTTACACTTAGACATTTCTTATTTACACATTTATAGAGAGACACTTTACTAGTGGAACTTTAATTATAGGCGATTACGACATGCAATATACACTTAACTAGCAATGTAGCCGACAAAACCATCTTCCGATCCTAAAATCTTGAAATAATAGCCTAAACATACCACAATAGGGGTGATGACAGGGTACATTAAACGAAATTCTATTTAGTCCGTCAGTTAGATGATCAAAAAATAATGGACACGTATTTTTTCTTTGGGCAATCAACCAAAAAATGACAAAGTTATAGCGCGTCAAAGTTTGGGTGTAGGGGCTCGTGACGTCACTTTTGAGTGAATTTTCACTTATAAGTGTACTCAAACGTGACGTCATGCGACTTTTCATATCAATATATCTCTGCAATGTTTCTATTATGTGAAAAAAGAAAAAATACGTGTCCGATACTTTTTGATAATCTGCCTGATAAACGAAGAAAAAGAAATTAGTCACCATCCCTATTGATTTTGACAACACATGTCGCTAGTCGAGAATAAATTATACTTCTAACTGCGTGAGAATATCCGTAGCCACGCTTGACAGATGCCGGGAACTCACCGATGGGACACTTCTTGGTCCCCTTGCGGTGCAGGACGTGCCCCACGCCTGACTCACCGATGGGCACGAGGGGACACTTCATGGTCCCCTTGCGGTGCAGGACGTGCCCCACGCCTGACAGATGCCTCGGACTCACCGATGCGCACGAGGGGACACTTCTTGGGCCCCATGCGGTGCAGGACGTGCCCCACGCCTGTCAGATGCCTGGGACTCACCGATGGGCACGAGGGGACACTTCTTGGGCCCCATGCGGTGCAGGACGTGCCCCACGCCTGACAGATGCCTCGGACTCACCGATGGGCACGAGGGGACACTTCTTGGGCCCCATGCGGTGCAGGAAGTGCCCCACGCCTGTTAGATGCCGGAGACTCACCGATGGGCACGAGGGGACACTTCTTGGGCCCCATGCGGTGCAGGACGTGCCCCACGCCTGACAGATGCCTCGGACTCACCGATGGGCACGAGGGGACACTTCTTGGGCCCCATGCGGTGCAGGACGTGCCCCACGCCTGACAGATGCCTCGGACTCACCGATGGGCACGAGGGGACACTTCTTGGGCCCCATGCGGTGCAGGAAGTGCCTGTTGCGCAGAGTGATGTCGGCCCCGCAGGACACGGAGCATGGTCTCCAGTCGCTCCACTCCGACACTTGGCAGATGCCTGTGACTCACCGATGGGCACGAGGGGACACTTCTTGGGCCCCATGCGGTGCAGGACGTGCCCCACGCCTGACAGATGCCTCGGACTCACCGATGGGCACGAGGGGACACTTCTTGGGCCCCATGCGGTGCAGGAAGTGCCTGTTGCGCAGAGTGATGCCGGCCCCGCAGGACACGGAGCATGGTCTCCAGTCGCTCCACTCCGACACTTGGCAGATGCCTGTGACTCACCGATGGGCACGAGGGGACACTTCTTGGGCCCCATGCGGTGCAGGAAGTGCCTGTTGCGCAGAGTGATGCCGGCCCCGCAGGACACGGAGCATGGTCTCCAGTCGCTCCACTCCGACACTTGGCAGATGCCGGAAACGTCCTCCACCTCGACGCCCGCTAGGTCTGCGTCCTCCTCGTTGCCAGTATTATCTCTGAGGGCGATTTTTAAGATACGGTAGAAAATGTGTTACTTAACTACTTCCTACTAAAATATTAGAAATGTGTGTCTGTGTGTGTGTGAGAGAGAGAAAGAAACATTTTATTGACCATTAAATTAACAGACACAAGTATTATAAAAAGGATGAACATAATATCTATATATATATATAAAACTCAAAGGCGACTGACTGACATAGTGATCTATCAACGCGCAGCCCAAACCACTGGACGGATCGGGCTGAAATTTGGCATGCAGGTAGATGTTATGACGTAGGCATCCGCTAAGAAAGGATTTTGATCAATTCTACCCCAAAGGAGATAAAATACCGAAGCGAAGCGAGAGCGGGCCACTAGTTATAATATATTCGTTTCTTAGGTTTTCAAACAAACCACTTATTAAATAAAACAAGTTTCAACGGTATAGAGGCACTGATTTCTTTATTTATGGCCGTTTGGCATCCTTTTCAGGATAATTTACACGACGCATCCTAAAAAGGATGCGAAACGTCAATAAATAAATAAATCAGCGCATCTATACTGTTGAAACTTGTTTTATTTATATGTTACTAGTGTCCCGCCCTCGCTTCGCTTCGGTGTAAAGCTGTAGTGTAGACTATAGTTTTTGTTCTCAGCCTTGTATTATATTATAGACAATGACATTCTTCTATTACTTATTGTAATGTAAATAATTTATTGTAATTAATTATTTGCATGCAATTAAAAACTAATTATAAACGATGCCAAAGAAGGATAACTTCTCACGCGCCTACATAAGTACACGCACCCATTTTTTTTTTGATTATGCAACTCCTTTTACATAAATAATAATCTACACGCGGTCCAAAAAGTCCTATAGTAATTTTTAGGGAAAATCTGTAGGAAAGTTAATATTTTCCTGCGAGTATATAAAAGTATACTTTTCTCCGTGAATTTGTAGACGCAGTAACTATAATGACTGATATTATGACGCCGCGACAAATTGTCTATCTGCAAATCACTTTAACTGTTCGGTATTTAAAACTCTATTATCCACTAAGTTGAGTGTGAATGAACCGTAACTGCGCCACATACAAAATAACACAAAGCTTATACTTAAATACATAAACTCATTACTTTTGTCTGTCTTTCAAACGCCCGCCAAATGGTATTTTTAGAAAATATCTACATTTTTTATTATTTTAAAGCATTTAACTGCTTGATGTTTAAATCTAAAGAAAATATAACTAGAAAAAATTCCACGCGGACCAGGCAGCAGACGGGACTCGAACCCGCACCCTTCCCAATCCGGGCGAATGCACTGACCAATTATGCTACCGCGGCCCTCACGGACCGCGTCGAAATTCCATGGGTTACCCATAATGCGAAGAGATGGCGCTGCCTTGCAGCTTAAGAATGGCTAGAGGAATTTCGACGCGGTCCGTGAGGGCCGCGGTAGCATAATTGGTCAGTGCATTCGCCCGGATTGCGAAGGGTGCGGGTTCGAGTCTCGTCTGCTGCCTGGTCCGCGTGGGATTTTTTCTAGTTATATTTTCTTTAAATATCTACATACTAATCTGTCTGAAGTATTTGCCATCGACATTACAAATTATACCTGTAAGTACCTGTTGCATGAGCACCACAATATATATATATATATATCACGTTTGTTATCGCGTCATCATCAGCCTAATAATGTCGCCACTGCTGGGGCACAGGCCTTCCCTATAGGTGAATTAAGGAGATTGGACTATGACCCACCACGCGTGTCCAGCAGGGGATGCTAGCGACTGCAGATGCAGCCGGGACCAACGTCTAAACGTGCCTTCTGAAGCACAGAGGAACACGAGACTGAAGATTTTTGATCACCCATCCAATGACCGACCACTGCTTAAGTTGCTGAACTCCAAAAATCGCAGCCGAACGCGCTAACCACCCGCGCTTTCGAGCTCCTTTATTGGAACGAAGTTCCTTACGGCAGGCTTGGAGGGGATAGGGATATTGCTGCGCGACCGAACTGAAAAAAATGTGATAGTAAAACCGTAAGAAAAAATCCGTGGAAAAAAGTGCGTGGAATAAAACCGTTAAATGAGACGTGCGCAGGCGCGACAGTCACATAGCCTACATTAGCCGAAGGAACTTCGTTCCTACCTGGTGTCCCACGACACCACATCATTTTCTTTTTTTTATTTCCTCTGTTATCGCGTACTCCATAGTAATTGAGCGTGATAAAAACGCGTTATATAACATATCACCGAGCACGACTATAGGCTGATGAGGATGATACTAACGGGCATTCAGGCAGGCTGGCGACGCACATCTCCTTGGCGACGAGCTGTCGGTCGCAGCGGAACATCTGCGCCTTCTGCGGCATGCGGTACCGGCGCGTGCGCATGCGCAGCCCCTTGCCGCACGACACCGAGCATGACGACCACGCGCCCCACTCCGACACCGCGCACTCCGCTACATACACATATTCATAATTAATATATTTACTAAAAAACCAGTGAACCAAATGTTCACCAAAACCTGATTAAAAAAAATGTATTTAATTAATTGAGAACTTCGGAGATTTTGTGTGGTTTCGTTTGAAATTCGTGATTTCTCGAAAACCGGAAGTGCTACGTTACTCAAATCCGGTTTGTAGTCTTATCAGACTATTCTTAACTTATAACTTAAATATTCTCTTTATCTATCTCTTACGGTTTGGCCGCTGAAACAGCACCACAGACAGACGGACGGACGGACGGACTTGTCTAATAGATAAGAGATTCCAACATTGTTCGATCATAACAATTATTTTCTTAATGCCCAATTAAAACGACAATACTTCTTAGAATAAAACAAAAAATACAATAAATAGCACTGTTACAACACACTAGGTCAAGCCCGTATTATAGGCACCGGTTTCTTGCAATTTGACAAAAACATTGATTTTTTTGCCGCACGATACCCGAGCATGACGACCACGCGCCCCACTCCGACACCGCGCACTCCGCTACATACACATATTCATAATTAATATATTTACTAAAAAACCAGTGAACCAAATGTTCACCAAAACCTGATTAAAAAAAATGTATTTAATTAATTGAGAACTTCGGAGATTTTGTGTGGTTTCGTTTGAAATTCGTGATTTCTCGAAAACCGGAAGTGCTACGTTACTCAAATCCGGTTTGTAGTCTTATCAGACTATTCTTAACTTATAACTTAAATATTCTCTTTATCTATCTCTTACGGTTTGGCCGCTGAAACAGCACCATAGACAGACGGACGGACGGACGGACTTGTCTAATAGATAAGAGATTCCAACATTGTTCGATCATAACAATTATTTTCTTAATGCCCAATTAAAACGACAATACTTCTTAGAATAAAACAAAAAATACAATAAATAGCACTGTTACAACACACTAGGTCAAGCCCGTATTATAGGCACCGGTTTCTTGCAATTTGACAAAAACATAGATTTTTTTTGCTGCACGATACCGAGCATGACGACCGCGCGTCCCACTCCGACACCACGCACTCCGCTATATAAACATATTCATAATTTTATTTATTTATTTATTTATTGAAAAACACAGGCAGCTATTTTTACAGGAATAATCCTAATGCAATAGTGTAGTATCGATATTGCAATTAATAAAATAAACATTATTGTATTAAAAAAAGGAAATAATACTAATTCCATTTTATTACATATAAATTAATATTACATAGTATACATACTAGTGATGTAACGAATGTCATTTTTTGAACATTACGCGCGAATACGAATGCGGATGCGAATGTCTGGTAGCGACATTCACGAATGAAAATGCGAATATTTAGTTTTTTTTAAATTGGCGCCAATTGTCTGTGGCATGGTGGCAGTCTCGTTCGAATTGCCGAGTTGATATGAACTCATCCGACTGAAGTGTCATTCCGCTCGCACCGGGCTTTCCGTAAACAAAACAAGTGAATTTTGAGGTTAGTGATTGTGAGTGGTAATAGTGATTTATTAACATGAGTATATCGAATTCTAGTGAAACATGAACTTATTTCACACTTTGCGATGCTGAAATAGCTAAATGCAAACTGTGTAACAATGAATATTCAAGGAAAGGCAGAACTACAACTTCTTCAAATTGTTTGTTTCTAATATTCATATTCGCAAAACATTCGCAGAGATTTTGCGAATGCAAATGTGAATGCGAATATTCAAAAATATGCGAATATTCGTTACATCACTAATACATACATATTTAAAAAAAAATGAATTGAACTATAATATTATTATTTCATATTGTCATCTCTATTACAAATTTCCATTCCCACCGATCTTTTAAATAAAGATAATGGACTGTGAAACAAATCAATTCTTACGGCAACTAGATTCAATGTGTGCAACGTACGCGTCGAAGGTGACTTAGCTAAAAGATTATTTCTCGCGGCTGTACCCATCCGGCACACTCAGTCTTATCATACCCAGTATTTCTGGATTTGAAATTCTGCCTCGAAATACTCTCATCATATAACACGCGAGAGCTAAATCCCTTCTTGTTTCTAGTTTGTTGAATCCAACCATGCCTGTATTGACAGTATGAAAAATATAGTAAATTGTTGGTTTCCGAGAGAACAAATAATTAATAACTTTTATAAAAAACATTCGACTTTTACATTTTATAGTCACGTGACCTTAAACGCCTGGAATTGGCGAAGACTTGAATGACGTCACACGCTAGTAATCTTCCGGTCAAGGTGATATTTCATTGTATCGTTTCACGTTTTAATGACAGTTGCGTGACGTTACATAGGTACTAGTGAGACAGCTTGAATATTGCATTTTTGATTTAGTTTTTTTACTGAAATACACAACAGAACAATGAATATCCATTTGGACTCCATAAACATTAGTAAAAAACGTAATCTAATAATATCTGGTTCACGTTTTGGGAGCGGGTGGGTCAAGATTGAAAGAAGTTTTATTACCGATCAGAAACGAAAATCTATTTAATCTTGACCCCGCCCGAATTCTAAATCATGAAACAGATGTTATTTTTTACTTTTTATTAGTTCTATTTTCGATTTTGAAGTCGGTTTTTATTTTTTGTTTATTTTTTTTTTATTTCATCCGTTTTAGTGAAAATTACATCGTCCAAGTAAACAATCACACAATCACAATTGACGGAGCGTGCGTGCCTTAAAAATTTTAAGGTTTCCCTTGATTTCCCCGGATTCCACCATCAGATTCTGACTTGGTTCCAATGGGAACACATCGGAAGTGCACTCTTTCGAATAAAAAAAGAATTTTGGAAATCGGTCCACAATTGACGGAGTAATCGGGGAAAATACATAAAAAAAATATACAGTCGAACGCAATACCTCCTCCTTTTTCGAAGTCGGTTAAAAAGATAAGACCTAGATAAGACTAGTTATATTTTCTTTAGATTTAAACATCAAGCAGTTACATGCTTTAAAATAATAAAAAATATAACTATAATTGCTATTTCTTCTTTCAAATGTTTAATACTTGTAAAAGTATTCATTTGACATTGTGGGTTACCTACAATGCGAAGAGATGGCGCTGCCTTGCAGCTTAAGAATGGCTAGAAGAATTTCGACGCGGTCCGTGAGGGCCGCGGTAGCATAATTGGTCAGTGCATTCGCCCGGATTGCGAACGGTGCGGGTTCGAGTCCCGTCTGCTGCCTGGTCCGCGTGGAATTTTTTCTAGTTATATTTTCTTTAGCAAGCAGCAAACATCAAGCAGTTACATGCTTTAAAATCTCTTATCTATTAGACAAGTCCGTCCGTCCGTCTGTCTGTGGTGCTGTTTCAGCGGCCAAACCGTAAGAGATAGATAAAGAGAATGTTTAAGTTATAAGTTAAGAATAGTCTGATAAGACTACAAACCGGATTTAAGTAACGTAGCACTTCCGGTTTTCGAGAAATCACGAATTTCAAACGAAACCACACAAAATCTCCGAAGTTCTCAATTAATTAAATACATTTTTTTTTAAATCAGGTTTTGGTGAACATTTGGTTCACAGGTTTGCTAGTAATAATAAATATAAAGACTTACGTTTCTCAGCGGCCTCTGTATTGTCTACTTCCTCGACGACCAGCGATTGCAGCGTCTCCTCGTCGCAGGATTGAGGGAGCAGCTTCTCCCTGGTGAGATAGAGGCGCGCCAGGGGAGGCACCTCCCCCGCCCCGGGGCTGTAGAAGGGGGCCCGAGGGTCCTCCGGGTACATGGGAGTGATGCGGTACATGCGCTCGCGGGGGACCGTCTCCGAGTTCGGAGACTGAAGGAGAAGTGTCCAAATTTCGTTTTAAACGACTATTTGACAGTATGAAAAAAACGAGTGTGCTTATCTTTATATATATAATTCTTCTGTGAGTGTGTATGTCACTGAACTTCTCTTAAACGACTGGACCGATTTTGATGAAATTTTTTGTGTGTGTTCAAGGGGATCTGAGAATGGTTTAGATTCACAATTTTGTCCGCTGGACAACCCCTATTTTTTTAGGGCGGTACGAAGTTCGCTGGGTCAGCTAGTCTATATATATAAAAATGAAACCCGTTTTCCGTTGTCACGACATAACATGAAAACGGCTTGACCGATTTGGCTGATTTTTTTTTTGTAGTTTTCTAATACTCTGTACAAGGTTCTTACGGAAAAAAATATAAAGAAAATCTCTCAGAAAGATTGAAAAATATAACGTAACGAATGTCAACGTCATTCAATTTAAAACAAAAAATCTGTGGTAATCTGTGACAACACATCGATAACCGCGCTGACAAATGTCAACGTCATTCAATTTAAAACAAAAAAATCTGTGGTAATCTGTGACAACACATCCATAACCGCACTAAAAATATAGGTACTCATACATAAGATAGGTCAGCTATACAAAATAAAGTAGTGCATCAAAGCTACGCTAAGGCGGTACGAAGTTCGCCGGGTCAGCTAGTAAATAAATAAATTAAATAAATATTTCCAACACACACCAATTAGCCTAGCCCCAAAGTAAGCACTGTAAGGCTTGTGTTATGGGAAGCTAGGGTAACCGATAGAATACATATACAGTACATATATAAGTATATTTATATAGTAATACATTTTTAACGTCCATGACTGGAGTACAAATGCTCGTATTCATCACACAAACATCTGCCCCCACCGGGATTCGAACTCGGGACCTCTCGAGTTGGCGACACCATGCAACCCGGCGTACAAACCACTCGACCACGATGACCACTCGATGGACCAAACCCAGGGGGATTTTATTTAAGTACTTTCAATATTTAATATACCACGACTATATGACCCCCCCTGGCGGCAAAGCTGGCTATATGACCCCCCCTGGCGCCAAAGCTGGATCCACCCTTGCCGTTACCCTAGCATCCCATAACACAAGCCTTACAGTGCTTACTTTGGGGCTAGGCTAATTGGTGTGAGTGTTGGAAATATTTATTTATTTATTTACTTTTCAGTTTTCTGTTAATCTATTAATGAAATAACATTAACTTGTAGCACATTGGTCAAACTCACCAAATACGAGATGCCGTTGTCAGTGCCAGCATCATAGGGGTACAGATCGACCACTTTCTCTTCTACCCAGGTGCAGTCTTTCAGGCAGAGGTCCAGCCCGTTCACACCCACCACCCAGTCAGGGGATGGACCTGGATAAATTACCATTAAGAAATTTGAAAACTACCATTATCAAATGGTTACCATTAAAATAGTAGGTAATCTATATATATAAAACTCAAAGGTGACTGACTGACATAGTGATCTATCAACGCACAGCTCAAACCACTGGACGGATCGGGTTGAAATTTGGCATGCAGGTAGATGTTATGACGTAGGGATCCGCTAAGAAAGGATTTTGATCAATTCTACCCCCAAGGGGATAAAATAGGCAATAAAAGTTTGTATGAAACTTTGTCAATTTTAAACTGATCGAGCTGAGACTTTGCATGCAGTTATACCTGCATCATAAATTAATGTCATTGTGTATAATACAAGCCTGAGAACAAAAACTGTAGCCTACACTTCAGCTCTTCACCGAAGCGAAGCGAGGGCGGGTCGCTAGTTGAATAATACGACTGCTGTTGAAAAATTAACTAAAAAGTACATAATCGTTTAGCAGATAAATCTGTTCTTTAATGTTAATGTATTTGTATATATTTGAAATCGTCTCATTAATACCTTTCAAATGATATCTATATTGTAATTATTAGAACCTTTTTTTTATTGACATAGATAATAATTGTCATTTTGACATAGCTGTAGACATTAAAATTTTAACCGTATAGGTATCCTATCTTTCTCGGGATGGTGAAAGGATTTTTACGAATTACATCACACATCTAGATCGGTTCAGGCGTTTATAAATTATGGTGGCATAAGAATTGTACAAACATAAATACATGAACCCTGAATTACTCTTTTTTTAGGCAGTCGTGTAAACACTCCAGAAAAAATAGCGGACCGTTTAAAACTATGGACGTTTTTGTCACAAAATACAAACACTGCGTGTACGGGGGAGTGAAATAAAAATAAAGTGCCAGAGATTCGGGACTTTGACGATGGTCTGCAGCAGCTGTCATGTGGAACTCTGCCGATGGCCCGCAGCAGCTGTCCTGTGGGATTCTGACGATGGCCCGCAGTAGCTGTGCTGTGGGACTCTGACGATGGCCCGCAGCAGCTGTGCTGTGGGACTCTGCCGATGGCCCGCAGCAGCTGTCCTGTGGGACTCTGACGATGGCCCGCAGCAGCTGTCCTATGGGACTCTGACGATGGCCCGCAGCAGCTGTGCTGTGGGACTCTGACGATGGCCCGCAGCAGCTGTCCTGTGGGACTCTGCCGATGGCCCGCAGCAGCTGTCCTGTGGGACTCCGACGATGGCCCGCAGCAGCTGTCCTGTGGGGCTCTGACGATGGCCCGCAGCAGCTGTCCTGTGGGACTCCGACGATGGCCCGCAGCAGCTGTCCTGTGGGACTCTGACGATGGCCCGCAGCAGCTCCCCTGTGGGACTCTGACGATGATCCGTAGCAGCTCCCCTGTTGAGTGTGCTACAGAGCTGGCCATATGTGGGTGGTCATACCAAACATGGAGGCCAGCGACAGCAGCGGGCGGCGGCGGTCCACAGAGAAGGCGGCGCTGGTGTTGTGGTTGAGGCGCGGGTGCCAGAGCCCTGGGACCCTGACGATGGCCCGCAGCAGCTTCCCCTGTTGACGTAGCTCTCGTTCCATCAGCTCCACGGAGCCCCACTCCGCTAGTGACCTGGCCATGTACATTGACCGTTATAATGTGATTCAAATAAGAATAGGAAAGCCAATGACCTCCATCTGTCAAATGTCGCTTGAAAAGTACGGTTTGCAAAAAAATCTCAGAACACTTTTTTAGCACTCGGCTGATTCTAGAATAAAAACCAAACGTTTTTGAACAAACAATAACAAATGTTGATACTTAATATTAGTTGTTTTTTTTTCATTTATTGAGCTTTGGCTATGAATGGTTGATATCCTAAATCGACAACCAAATGTCAGTTTATGGTGCGTTCAAAAACTCGATTTAAAACTTTCGTTTATGTGACCTGCATAATCATTCATAACTTCTCCGGCGGTAATGCAGAGATGAGCGAAAGTGAAAAGCTAGATTCTGATTAATGTTTTTTTTCACACAGTCTTAATAAAGAAATACTATTAAAAATCGGTTGTACTCTTTTTCAAGCTTAGTTAATTAATTTATTATAAAATCTGATGTTTTGTCTCACTTGATCTTATTAAATAAGTTTTATTAAATAGCAACATTTTTTTGCTCACTCTACCTATTTGGTTTGAATTGACAGCTATGGTGTCAAAATATGGCGCCCAGCCGGTCCTATTCTTAGTTGAATCGCGTTATAGATAGGCAGATAGTAGCACGAAATAAAGCGTCCGTCCTAAGATCATGATCACGCCTTGCCCATGAAATAGGGAATGGGAGATTATAGCTATTTTACAACTCAAATTTAAACCCTTCTCTAAATGAAAAATGATGCGCACACATTATTCGAAATACAATTCGCTATAGAAAACTTGACTGCGTTATAAATATAAGGGATATGACAAGGGTACAAATATTTTTATTATTGAAAAAAAAGCAAGTATACCCAAAATGCAGCAACAATTCTTTAAACGTGTCTATCACCGAAGTCTATAAAATATGAATTCTATTTGTGTTGAGTTCCAACCTGAACCCATCGGTAGCGATCTGGCCCTCTCCCCAAAAGGAGAAGTTGTGGGGATGCGTGGCCCCGATGATATCAGAGAAGTGGGTCAGCCACAGCGCCTGCGTGGGGAAATCCTTCGGGTGCGTCTGCGGCGACCACACGCCTTGGAATACCATCTGTACATAATTATAAGGAATTCAATTAAGAAACGTTAGTAATAACCTAGAGAAGGGGAGCCTAAGCTGGGATTTTTGGATTTACTCGAGCCCGGCAGAATAACATATGGGGAGCAACCTTGCACCTAGATAAGTACTCCCACTATTAGTGTTGCCGATCGATAGTCGACTATCGATGATTAATCGATAGTCTATCGATAGCCAACCAATCGCATGACAATCGATCGGCTTATCGATAGTATCGATACTATCAATAGTATCGATACTATCGATAGCACAGAAAAAGCCGGAACTATCGGATGAGTTAAATACTATCGATAGTATTGTAGTTCTTTCATAACAAACTATCGATAGTATCGATACTGTCGATTTTATTTGCAACCATACTATCGATAGTTTAACAATTTGCAATAGTATTGTTTATAATTTTCAGGTATTATAGTCAATCACAAACTTTAGTCTAGAACAATCGCTAGTATCGATACTATCGATAGTATTGTTGCAGATAAAATCAACACTATCGATAGTATCGATACTATCAATAGTTTGTTATTGACGAACTCCAATAGTATCGATAGTATCTATAGTATTTTTTAATCTCAATAGCCTCGCGCATCATTCGAGGAACGAACCGCCGCTCAGCTGATCAGCTGATCTATAGTATTGCACTCATTCGATAGTATTGCCTTGTTCTGAGCTATCGATAGTATCGATACTATCGGTTGTATCGATTCTATCGATAGGCCTATCGATAGGGTACATGATTTTCGATGTAAACTATCGATAGTTTTAATATCGATAGTTCGGCAACACTACCCACTATACCTGAGCCATCTATGTAGGGCCGAACGGATAGGGCAGCAAAAACAAAATTTCAACGAACGGTCATGACTTTTGATCGCGCCCAAATCGTCAGTATTTTGAATATAAGCTACTAGAGGGTTCATGTAACGTTTCTAAGAACGGAAAAAATATTGTAATGCCGCGGTTTGCATGATATGGGAGTGGCCGTACGAAGGGGTCGAATATAGGAAAAAATAACCGAGTGCGTCAGACATTGAGAAGGGATGTTACGTGAACCCTCCAGTAGCTTCTATTCAAAAGACTGACGATTTGGACCTGACCAAAAGTCATGGCCGTTTGTTGAAATTTTGTTTTTAGTAAATCCAAAAATCCCCGCTTGGGCTCTCCTACTATTAGAAAGAGAAGTAATTATTAGAATATATATTATTTTCAAGAGTAAATATAAATGAATGTGATAAGAATAACTACAAAATAACATCATTCGACAGCAGTCTTCTAGAAAAGGGTGAATAGTATCTCCGTCTTCAAAAAGGCGTTTTAAGTCGACTTTATATTTCTCAATCTCTCTTTCAAATAACAACATGAAGTTAGCATATTACAAACAACAACCCACCATATTTTTTATTTACATATGTAGCCTACTTTTCGTGCGACAAATATACTTTATAGTTATGTTTTTATTTTGTTTTAAGCATTTAACTGCTAGATGTTTAAATCTAAAGAAAAGTTTTACTAGAAAAAAATCCACGCGGACCAGGCAGCGGACGGGACTCGAACCGTACCCTTCGCAATCCGGGCGAATGCACTGACCAATTATGCTACCGCGGCCCTGATGGCCAATAGGAATTTAGATCAAATAAGATTTCTTTTTTATGTACATAACTACTAAAATAAACTTTTCCTTTTCATAATTCTGTTTTTTCTTCTTTCCGTTTTACAACAACTCTCTATAACGCCATAAAATGTACAGTCCCTTTAGTGTCGTTATATAGAGTTTACACTGTATTCTGTAATCTCGTTTCGATATGAATATTTTTTACGGAAGGTTCACACACTCACATACACACACACGCTACACCCACGTACGCACTCATTTACACAAAGTTAGTTATCATGCTCCTTTTATAATTGTGATTTATATAGGTATTTATATTTATCGCAAAATTAATTTGAATCTTTGTTGGTATTTCTTTTATATTATTGTTAATTTGTAATTCCTACCCTACGTAATGATTTCAATTTTTAAATTGAATACAAAGTGGGTTTCTGTAATTGGCTAAAGTACCGTTTAACATTTTATATTAGATTATATTGTGTAAAACGCTGTTGAAACTTGTTGATGATAAATAAATAAATAAATCCATCCCACGCGAAGTAAGGGGCGTCCATAAATTACGTGAGATGTTTAAGGGGGGGAGGGGGTCGAGTCAAATCTCATTTAATCTTACGTTGGAGAGAGGGGGGGGTCGAGTCAAATATCACGCAATTTTTTTTCTGATTGAAACAAAAAGAAATATACTATTTTGGTCCATTTATTCCAGATTGTACATGTTTAAAATTAAATCTGAAGCGTAATCGTAATACGATTAAGATCATTCACTAATTCGTTCGAAAGAAATAACTCTCAGCAATATTGATTACTAGTCTTAACTAGTCGTAATACGAGCACGAAGCATTTTTTTTTCTTTTAACAAGAACAATCCAACGCGTTTAAGTAAGAAACCCGCATTTTGAAAAATCTCATGTGAGATTGGGGGATGGGGGGGGGGGGGTCCCTCCCCCCCTGGTGAGATGTCGTGTCGGGAGACAGAAAATTCAAAAAAACACCTCACGTAATTTATGGACGCCCTCTAACCTTATATTTAGCGGCGTCGCAGGCGCAGCACTGTGTGGCGGCGGCGCTGGTGTCCTCGCACACACGACGGGTGAGCTGTCCGTCCTCCGCAAACCAGCGGCTCGCATTTTCATACACCATTGCCCTGAGATAACCATCAATCTATCATTTAAACTCCTTCCCATATCGTTACGAGTTACGACCATCACTCAAAAGTCGAAAAAATCTTTATTCAAATCGGATGCACAATACAACTGTTCTGAAGCGTCAATATTTTTTTTCTCTATCACCAGTTAAGGACATTTTTTTAGCTGTAGAGAAAATCTGGCGAAAAAACTTCACAGCGTTAAATAATTATGTAACAATATTTACAAAATATTATATTGTTACGGTGTCAATACCCAAGCATTTTTTCTCAATATAATGAAACACCTTTTAATAAGGCTTTATTAATAAGAACTCTTTTAATAGTAGCTTTAAATTTTTTGACGCTTAATTTTTGGATATTACTAGGGACTTTATTGTAGAAGCGTACACAAAGACCTTTAAATGAATTATTAATTTTGTAGAGCCTTGTAATTGGTACAGCTATTTTTTTTTCTAGTATTAAACGAGTATCTATCAAAATAATGTAATATTTTTCCGAACATACATTAAATTCTCATAGATGTACTGAGAAGCAACAGTCACTATATCAATTTCTTTAAAAAAATCTAGTGTAATGCCTAAGAATACTGTACTGTCCACAAGGCCCATATTCTTATCTTGGATAGTTACACTAATTTGTGTCTGCATTACGGTAATAAAAAAATTAAACATATAGTTGTATCTTCGTTAAGAAGTAAATTATTAGCGTTTAACAAGTGGACTATTTTAGAGATGGCATTGTTCACATCGTCAATAAGTGGTTTCTTTCGTTAAATTGTAAATAAAAGCGAAGTATCATCTGCCAACAATTCTTTGTCGTGATTATCTCTTACAAAGTAAGATAGGTCATTTATATAAATTAAAAACAAGAATGGACCAAAAATTAACACCTGAGGAACACCCATCTTTACTAACGATCGGGAGAACTTTTGTCATTGATATCAACTCTCTGGATCCTATCGCTCAAATATGACATAATGAGTTCCAGAGTGCTACCTTTGAATCCATTGTGGCATAGTTTACTGATTGTTGACGTTTCATGAAAATCGTAATCAAAAGCTTTGGTCAAATCACAGAAGACTCCTAAACATCAGTCAAGTAAGTCATCAGTGACTCCTCCCAGGTATCAAAAATATGCTGTAAGAACTCAACACCAGCATCAGTTGTAGAGCGACCCCTTGTAAAAGCAAATTGTTAGGAATAAGATTGCATTTGGTCGAACATTATTTTTCAAATATCTTCCTAACTGGGAAGCACAAAGGTCTAAAGTTTGTGGAGTCAGATGTGCTACCGGATTTATATTAAGAAGTTATGTTGCTGTGTTCATGAGATTAAATTTCATTTGTTTATTTAATATAATAAACGACGGATTGCATTTTCTCGACTGAACGAACTACCAATCTGATGCTTATTGAAGTTAAACATGAACTAATGGCTTTTAAGCCAATGTTCTGTTATACAACAAATATCTATATTATTACAGTTCACGAATAACTCAAATTCATTGCTGGATACAAACCTAAGAATTTTAGAACGACTACAACCGTAAACCGCTTATTGTAATTGTTCGTAACTATTCTAAATTGTTTAAAAAAGTATGCCGCTTAGCAAAATCAAATTACTTAAGTTCAAAGATTAAGAACAGTAATGACACTTTAGGTATAAGTAAAAATACTATAATATAATAATCTTAATTTTATGTCATTTTATTTATTTGAATTCGATTTTTGTAAAAGAAAATATTTTTTCGTTTTATAAATCAGAGCAACATTAGCTATTTATATGTATCGTTTTGAAATCTAATTCAAAATTTAGTACTTGTATTTCATAAAATAACCAAATAATAGATAATTCTATGTTATTGTTTGACAAAATTAAAACGACATGGAATATTATAGACGATGAAACTGGAAAATCCAAAACTCGCAATAATAATTATAACTTAAATATTGATAATAAAAGGGTTACTTCAGATATTGAAGTTGCTACAGCTTTCGAAAATTTCTTTACTGATATTCCAGTTTCAACTACTAAATCTTTGAACTCTTCCCCCATTGCTGCCGAATCAATCTTAAGAGAAAACGTGAAACCTTGTACTAGTCATTTTCATTTTAAACATGTTGACTTCAAAGATGTAATTAAAACGTTTCACCAATTAAATAAAAAGAAAACCACGGATCTGTGGGGCAATTCCGTTGATGTTTCTAAATCGGTAATTGAGACAATAGCTCCTATTCTAGCTTGCATATTTAATGATTGTGTTGACTGTGGTGTTTTTCCTGACCTCATGAAATACAGTAAAATAACTCCTTTGCATAAAACGGGAAGTACATCAGACCCCACAAACTTTAGACCAATTTCTGTGCTACCCACCTTTAGTAAAATTTTCGAAAAAATCATGTTAGATCAAATGCAATCACATTTTAATAAATATAATATACTTCACTGTAAACAATTTGGTTTTACACGGGGTCGTTCAACAACCGATGCCGGTGTTGAACTTATACAACAAATTTTTGACACCTGGGAGAACTCGCAGGACGCTCTAGGTGTGTTTTGCGACTTGTCCAAGGCTTTTGATTGCGTTTTTCATGAAACATTACTCAGGAAACTCCACCACTATGGATTTAGAGATACTGATCTGGATCTTATTGCGTCATACCTGATGGATAGGATTCAGAGGGTTGACATTAACGGCAATAAGTCTGCGGGTTCGCCGGTTAAAATGGGTGTTCCGCAGGGCTCAATCCTTGGTCCTTTCTTATTTTTAATTTATATTAATGACTTACCTTACTACGTTAGAGATAAGCATGAGATAGTATTGTTCGCGGATGATACATCACTTTTATTTAAACTCAAACGTAAGGAAACAGTTATTGACGACGTGAACAGTTGTATCTCTAAGGTAGTCCACTGGTTTAATGTTAATAATTTATTACTAAATGAAGGAAAAACGAAATGTATTAAATTTGTATTACCTAATGTAAAACAGGTAAAAACCAGTGTGGATGTAAAGGATAGGAATATGGGCCTTGTAGACACCACAGTATTCTTAGGGATTACTTTAGATTCTAAGCTTCAATGGGGCCCACATATTGATAAATTGTCAAATAGACTTAGTTCTGCAGCATATGCCGTAATGAAGATACGCCAGTTAACGGATGTAGATACGGCCAGATTAGTATACTTTAGTTATTTCCATAGTGTAATGTCGTACGGAATTTTATTGTGGGGAAAAGCCGCCGACATTCAAACTATTTTTGTGCTGCAGAAGAGAGCTATTCGATCAATTTATAATCTTAAAGTTAAGGATTCCTTAAGAGATAGGTTTAAAGAATTTGGTATAATGACGGTCGCATCACAATACATTTACGAAAATTTATTACTTGTAAGAAAAAATATTAATTTGTTTCTTAAAAACAGTGATGTTCACACTTTACCTGCTACTAGGCTTCACAAAATCAATAATTCATTTAAAGGTCTTTGTGTTCGCTTATACAATAAAGTCCCAAGCAATATCCAAGTGTTAAGCATAAATAAATTCAAAGATAGTATAAAAAAAGCACTTATTAAAAAAGCTTATTACAAAGTGTCTGATTATATTACAGACAAAAATTGGGTTTGAACTGTTCCAATCATTCCAACAGGTTTTCTATATTAAATAAATCATGATTGTATTGACGCTGTAACAACATAATGATTTGTAAATGTTGTTACATTATGCTTTTAATGTTGTGGAGTTTTTTTCGCTCGTTTTTCTCCGCAGCTAAAAAAATATGTCCAATAACGAGTGGTAGGGAAAAAAATGTTTGGACGATTCAAAAGTGTTTTACTATACATCCAATTTGAATAAAGATATATTGATTTCTGATTTCTGATTTCTGTAGGCAGACACCATCGAAGAACTATATTGCACTGAAGCAGAGTTGTCTGTTCTCAAATATTTGTCCTCCACAAAGCCAATGTCACTTTGCGATTCTTAGGGGCGCTCGGAGTATAAGTGTTTACAAGTGTTTACCACCATGGTGCTTTTAATTCTTTGTATATGACTTCAATTTCACCAAATAGAGTACACACATATTAATTGAATTGTATAATTTTTGGGACATAATAAATTAGAACAAATATTGTAAAAACCTAAGTAAATTATATAAAAATGAGAACCCGAACAGAAATAATCATAAGTACTGTACGCTGTACTTAAATAGTTATCGCCTTGCATTAATTCCCAACAATTTGTTGCGATGATACAAGTTAGACAAATGATCTTTACTACTAGGTACTCAAGCAAGTAGCAGCTGTAACGTGAAAACTTTACGAACTGTACTCACTTAAGCAGCACGCATCCGGAGCCTGCAGGCGGCGCCTTCCACATGACCTGGACCTCAGTTTTGGGCAAGTCATCGGCCTCTAGAACAGCGGTGACGCACTCGTCGTCGAAGGAGGTCAGAGTGTCGGCGAACAGCTGGAACTGCCCCAGGCGGCTGGGGGCGTGCAGGTCTCTCCCGCCTAGAGGCTCCAGTGTCAGCTTGAAGCGGGTGAACTGCTGCACCACGTCATGAGTACGGGAACCAACTAGGGTCACTGAATATAAGAGATATTATGCTTCACTGATTTGTTGTTGGATTAGATTTCTTCTGTAGTTTCGGGATTTAGCCAAAGTCCAGCGTATGTGCTCAAAAGGACTCCTCCATCATCATCAGACTATTAATGTATTCACTGGTAGAGTTAGGTTTATTCCTATGTATGGAATAGGGAGTTCGGGTCGACTGCAGTGCAGCCGGGACCAGCGGCTAAACGTGCCTGCCCAAGGACGTAGGAGCTCATGAAAATAAGTTTTTGGTCACCGACAGCAGGCCGATTGCGCTAAACAGCTGCACCATTGAGCTCCTCTTTGTTCCTAACATAAAGTAAATGTAGAAGCTGGACCCTGGCTAGCTGGTGTGCTGGTCTCTCCCGCCTAGTTCCAGTGTCAGCTTAAGGCCGGGACTCCACCAAAGCGGAGACGAGACGAGCGGAAAGATGTTTTTTAAACAACCAATAGAATTGTGTTATTGACACATCTTCTCTCCGCTCAGCTTCAGTGGAGGTCGCTATGCGGAGATGTGCAATATTTGTATGGCGCGATGGGAGCGGAGATGTGAGCTGTGCGCGCATGCCTCTATGACATGCTTAAAGCATACGAAAAATTGGTTTTCATTACTCATATTAATATCAGTAATGAAAACCAATTTTTCGTATGCTTTAAGCATGTCATAGAGGCACGTTTATATAAATTTTAACAACATTATTGTTACCGATGACAACGAATAAATGATTATTTAATTTGAAAGATAACTAGTAGAAAAATCCGCTATCATAAAACAGCTAAACCTCAAAAGGGAAACCGAATAACGAACTCATTACTGCTTATAACAATGTTCTACAAAGTCGTTGCAACAGTTAAAAAAAATACACAGTTCTAATTTCCTGCTGAATCAGTTTTCCAGGAACCGTATCAATGAAATAATGTAATCTTACACCAACATCCACATTTCGTGTAGGTATTTCAGATCATTATTTCATGAAACTATATTTGTGATAATAATTCTAAATATTTCTTATGTATCAGATGATAATAATGGTGGCATATCGTGTTATTAGTTAGTTAATTTAATAAGAAGGTCTACCAACATTCGCTGTTGAGGCTTATTTTTTTTTTTAATAATCTCTTATCTATTAGACAAGTCCGTCCGTCCGTCTGTGGTGCTGTTTCAGCGGCCAAACCGTAAGAGATAGGTAAAGAGAATATTTAAGTTATAAGTTAAGAATAGTCTGATAAGACTACAAACCGGATTTGAGTAACGTAGCACTTCCGGTTTCCGAGAAATCACGAATTTCAAACGAAACCACACAAAATCTCCGAAGTTCTCAATTAATTAATTACATTTTTTTTTAAATCAGGTTTTGGTGAACATTTGGTTCACTGGTTTGCTAGTAATAATTTAACTACGGAAATATTGTTATGTTATGCTATTTTTTTGATATTGTTCATTTTATTTAATTTTTAGCAACTTTGCTCTATCGCCATACTATTTGTCTCCAACAATCATGCTGGTTGACTGGTAGAGAATGCTTATAGCATTAAGTCCACCATTTGTTTATGTTTGTCAATAAAGTTTAAATAAAATAAAATAAAAATAATAACATACTTAAAATCCAAAATTTCAAAGCATTTATGTAGCACCTGGTTTTGTACCCTTGTGTACCTTTCAACGGCCAAGTCACAGTAAGGAACCTTAGACTTGGCAGGACTTTGTCTAGATTTCATTACCTTTTAGAGATAAACAAGCAGCTCCATCGAGACTTGGCTAGTTTTTTACAGAATGTTTTTGGTGGGATGCATTTTTTCTCCCCGTCATCAACAAAAACACATGCATCACACACACACCCACACGCACACACACACATATGATCGTAGGAGTACCACCTACTTCTGTTGGATTTCTTTTGCATTTCTCGCTTTCATCTAAGGAGAAGTGGGTGTGGCTGAAAACCAGCGCTGCCCGAGACATTCTGTAACGAAGCAGTTTATTCTGAACCACATCCATTTGCTCTTCACGCTGTCATATCGCATTGTACTATGTATTGAACTGTGTATTACTGTGATCATCATCATCATCATCAACAGCCTATCTTAGTCCACTGCTGGACACAGGCCTCTCCAAATGCACGCCACTTAGATCGATCTTGGGGGTACTCGCATCCAGCTCCTGCCAGCCAGCTTGCGCAAATCGTCACTCCATCGCGCCTGAGGACGTCCTACACTACGTTTGCCTAGACGCGGTATCCACTCCAGAACTCGTCTACCCCAACGGTTATCGGTTCTTCGACAAATATGGCCAGCCCACTGCCACTTCAGCTTACTAATCCGGTGGGCTATGACGATAACTCTGGTTCTCTGCCGGATTACCTCATTTCTGATGCGATCCTTCAGAGAAACGCCGAGCATAGCCCTTTCCATAGCGCGTTGAGCGACTTTGAACCTGTGGACCAGCCGTACCGTCAGTGTCCACGTCTCGGCTCCGTATGTCATCACAGGTAGGACGCACTGATTGAAGACTTTCGTCTTTAGACACTGTGGGATCGACGATGTCAGGACTTGACGTAACTTCCCAAACGCTGCCCAACCTAGCTGAATTCTTCTATTCACCTCGTCCTCAAAGTTGTTTCTAACTAACTGCAATGTCTGCCCGAGGTACACATATTTTTCAACAACTTCGAGAACGGCACCGTGTATTGCAAACGGTTCCGGTAGAACATCCGGTAGTATTACTGTGAGAGCAATAAAAATATTTCTATTCTATTCTAAAAAAGGTGAATAAGCTACCGAGTTCAGCCATTCTCTGTGGCAATGGATAGAACATAGTTAAACAGACAGACTGACCGACATATCTCTGTCCGGGCAGATACCGCTCGACGTCCCCGTTGATGAGCAGGCGGTAGTAGTTGTCCCCGGGAGATTTGGGCCCCACGCGTCCCACCGGCTCCAGGCTACAACCCACTGCTGTCCCGGCTATTACAGCCGTTAACAGCCACGCCAACCAATGCCCCACCATACTTTAGCAGTGCATCTGAAACTAAATATACTTTGAAACTTTCGCGTTGCATTAAAGATATAACATTTAACGGATTAAAATAAAAAAATTGGGTCGGGATAAAGAAGGTACGGGAGAGAAGCTTGATAGCGCAAGTGGTTAGCGCGTTCGGCTGCGATCGTTGAAGTTAAGCAACTTTCGCAGTGGTCGGTCATTGGATGGGTGAACAAAAATTTACTATCTCGAGCTCATCCGTGCTTCGGAAGGCACGTTAAGCCGTTGGTCCTGGCTGCATCTGCAGTTGTTAGCACCCGCCAATCCGCACTGGGCCCACGTGGTGGATCATGGTCCAATCTCCCTATTCCATCCATACAGAAGGCCTGTGCCCCAGCAGTGGGGACATTAACAGGCTGATGATGATGGGCCCAGTGCGGATTGGTGGGTGCTAACGACTGCAAATGTAGCCGGGACCAACGGCTTAACTTGCCTTCCGAAGCACGGAGGAGCTCGAGATAGTAAATTTTTGGTCACCCATCCAATGACCGACCACTGCGAAAGTTGCTTAACTCCAACGATCGCAGCCGAACGCGGTAACCACTTGCGCCATCGAGCTCCTCCAGGCTCTAGGTGCAGATTAATATACACTAATGCAACAGCTAACGTATGCAGATCTTAGCGGAGCCGACAGCTTGTCGGAAAATCTGGAGATTGTAAATTGATGTTAACCCATCGACCACATAACGTACATACTGACTACTGCATCAAACATACGGCACAGTAACAGAATAGATATACTTTTACTGGATGATATACAGTATGATATCCATGACGTATCCACAAAAGAATTTACTCCGTGATCATGGCGCTTGCAACAGTGCCGAAATATCGGAAACTCGCTAAAAACAAGGTGCAATGTAGCAATCCCGTAAATAAGATCCCTAAATTACTATAAATAATTTAAACAAAAACAATAATTATGAACTGCGCAGTATGTCGGGTGCTTTCTTTTGACAAGCAGTCGTGTTCTGTGACTTCGAGCATCTTTAGAATATCTCTGAAATACCATTATCCTAAGAAGTCTCAACATTTCAGTACGCTTCTTATGAAACAGACACATTATACAAATTAATAAATACCCGAAATAAACTCAGCACGATTCGTAACAGTTTAAAATAACTAACGCCCACTTAACATTCCTATCACTAATCGTTTTAATTAGTTCAACAATTTATAGAACTTTCAAGAAACTTTAAAAAAAACTTACAAAGATGTGGATGAGATGAACGCAGCGCGGGGTATGAGCAATGTGCGCGGGCGCAGCGACGCTCGCTCGTGATAAGAGGTCAAATGTCTCGATCTACATTACATACCACCCGGCCCGCAGAAATCCAGTAAACAATTTATTGTATTACATTTAGGAGAAAAAACATACATCCAATGCTTAATGCTCTTCTTAATTATCCAACAACAACTTTATTTATCAACATTATGCCGCGTATTCATTAGGCAACATTTGTTGATAGACTGTTTATGGCGTTCATCACCCTATTCATTTGTCGTAAACTTTTGTTTCTGAAACATGGCCGACCACACTTGTCAGTTGTTACTTTTGTTTCTGAAACATGTACGACCACACTTGTCAGTTGTTACTTTTGTTTCTGAAAAATGGCCGACCACACTTGTCAGTTGTTCCTTTTGTTTCTGAAAAATGGCCGACCACACTTGTCAGTTGTTCCTTTTGTTTCTGAAACATGTCCGACCACACTTGTCAGTTGTTACTTTTGTTTCTGAAACATGTCCGACCACACTTGTCAGTTGTTACTTTTGTTTCTGAAACATGGTCGACCACACTTGTCAGTTGTTACTTTTGTTTCTGAAAAATGGCCGACCACACTTGTCAGTTGTTCCTTTTGTTTCTGAAACATGTCCGACCACACTTGTCAGTTGTTACTTTTGTTTCTGAAACATGTCCGACCACACTTGTCAGTTGTTACTTTTGTTTCTGAAACATGGTCGACCACACTTGTCAGTTGTTACTTTTGTTTCTGAAACATGGCCGACCACACTTGTCAGTTGTTACTTTTGTTTCTGAAACATGTACGACCACACTTGTCAGTTGTTACTTTTGTTTCTGAAACATGGCCGACCACACTTGTCAGTTGTTACTTTTGTTTCTGAAACATGGTCGACCACACTTGTCAGTTGTTACTTTTGTTTCTGAAACATGGCCGACCACACTTGTCAGTTGTTACTTTTGTTTCTGAAACATGGCCGATCACACTTGTCGGTTGTTACTTTTGTTTCTGAAACATGTCCGGCCACACTTGTCAGTTGTTACTTTTGTTTCTGAAACATGGCCGACCACACTTGTCAGTTGTTACTTTTGTTTCTGAAACATGTCCGACCACACTTGTCAGTTGTTACTTTTGTTTCTGAAACATGGCCGACCACACTTGTCAGTTGTTACTTTTGTTTCTGAAACATGTCCGACCACACTTGTCAGTTGTTACTTTTGTTTCTGAAACATGGCCGACCACACTTGTCAGTTGTTACTTTTGTTTCTGAAACATGGCCGACCACACCTGTCAGTTGTTGCTAGGATGTCGCCCGAGAAGGTAGTGTTGCTCTGTGGTGCTTTGTCGTAATTCCGGAGAGTACTACTATAAAAAAAAGGAAAAGAAAAAGGTGGTGGGTTCGGAAAAATATAAGATAAGATTGATATAAGTTATGTATTTGATGACCTTCGTGGATTTGATGGGTCTTTTCATAATTTCACCAGAATATCAAAAACTGATTATGAAATATTATTGAGATTGATTGGGCCATCAATAACAAGACAGGAAACGAAATTTCAGAATCCTATTTATTATTATATTTAAAATTCTTGCAACAGGTGACTCATAAGTCTCACTGTCATATTCTTTTAAAGTATCAAAGCAATTAATCAACAGAATCGAAGCTTGGTTATATAAACCTTAAATCTCTCGCAACACAGATGGATCAGAACAAAAGGGGTCAGAACTGAAAATCAGCGATTTACTCTCTGAGTAAATGTTACGCTGAGTTTTCGCCCATTCGCATCGCTGCTGCACACGAAAATATCATAGTATAGTTTTATAAATATAAACTGTTCCATGTTTAAAAAGATTTATATAATTGTAAAATTTGTCTTCAATTTTGTATGTGTGCATGTTAGCGCGAATAAAATTTTATCTATCTATCTATCAACACATGTCCACTCCTGTCAACTTTTGTTTATAAACTAAATGTTTCATCTTGCTCTCCATTCAGAGTAAGGAACACGGCAATATGTATCTGAAGGCGCGTCCGCTGCGCCATGTTTTGAATAGAACATTGTTATTGAACATTGTTTGTTCAAAACATTTTCCGTCCGCTGCGACTTTAGCAATGTTCAGTAAACAAAGTTTTTTAAACAAAACTTCACATTTGAAAAAATGAGCAGCGAGGAGGAAGACGTGAACATTGTTTTGGCTGTAGTGGATTTAATTCTCGGAAGAAGAAAAAGAAATAGATTTCGTGTCAGACCTTACTTACAGCAACGCACCTTCAACATAATATATCAAGAACTGCAAATTGGAGACAGATTTGGAATTAAAAAAATATTTTCCATTATGATATGTCGCATCAAAACACGTCTTCCTACTCCAAAATCGAACATAAAATGAATGAGTTCCCCCGTCCGCAGACCAACGCGGGGAATGTTTTCCACAAACTCCGGCAAACACGATCAAGTGTATTTGTTCGACAAAACATTTAGGCCACACCCCTTATTTATGTTTTCGAACAATGTTCTGTTCAAAGCATGGCGCAGCGGACGCGCCTTGAAACAATGTGTCATCACATTTGTTTATAAAAAGTTTCTAGATTGTATATGGAGGTGATGCAACATTGTCAACTAATGTTTATAAACAGTGTTTGTACACAAATGTTGCCTAATGAATATGCAGCTTAATTCCACAATATTAGATTTTTTTACAAACCATCCATAATAAGATGAAATCAATAATGAATGCCTGTTTCAAATATTGTTAGATATTAACCAAATTAAAACGCGTTTGCTCCAATCAATCGAGTCAATCGGTCTAAAAATTATACTCTTACCTTACCTAATTCTTGCTAAAGAGAAGATAGAAACTAAAAGTTATAGTAATATAAGGTATTTACGGGATTGCTACCATGTACCTTGTTTTTAGCGAGTTTCCGATATTTCGGCACTGTTCAAGCGCCATGATAAAAACAAGGTACATGGTAACAATCCCGTAAATAACTTATATTACTATAATGTTAGTGACCATGAAAGTTTAAAACAATATAGAAACTAAAAGGTTTTATTTTTTTACCTAACCCAGTTTAAATTTTTTCTAGTAAACATTTCTTCAGATTTAAACATCTATCAGTTACAAAATAAGTATATAATAACCTAGTCCCCGTTTTGTAATAGGGGGCAATAATAGAGAGGGGAAGTAACTACCAGAAGAGTGTACTATGATAAAACTGAATAACCTATTTCGAGGTATCCACGAGGTCGGGGATGTGTCAAAGTAGGTCACGGTTACAGTTACAGTTATATATCACAGGTAGTATCTGGTACTGTAGTATCGCAACTGAAGATTGGTAGTCAGGGCCTTTTTTATTTACCCTAGGGCCAAATGGGCCATGGTCCGGGGCGGCAGGAACACGATTGGTACTAACGACTGGCAGATACAGCCGGGCGGGACCATCGGCAGTGTACAGATCCCACATAAAAAATGAAAAGGGTTTCTCGCGCTTTTTCCTTTTGAATACGTAGATGAAATAAAAAGACAAAACTGTGTCCAAGGCGAAAACAAGGCGTTACCAATTCCTTATATCTAAAACACTGACGCGAAAGTTTAGCGCGATTCATCATAGTACAGCGCCATCTAGTGGCAAATGTTATAACCATTATTCGTATAATATATTTTTAATGCTTATTCGAACAGGCAGTACATGCTCTCCGAAGCACACAAACAATATTAGTAAATAGCATTATTACCGGCAGAGCAATTTGTATACTATAAGACAATCAATTCACCACGGTAGCTCAGTTTTTTTTATTATTAATTACCGAGGTTTTTAATGTATATTTTACTAAAATAACTTTTTTATCCATTTCTAAGTCCAGTACGATCTTACCATGAAGAATATTCTAGGAAGTACATAATGTACCATCGAAAATAATGACATTCCTACTGTGAGCGCCGCCTGCGCACATCTCGACAGACCGAGTTGGCCCTCATGAGTAATGGTGTCCACGATACCTCCACGCAATTGCTTCAATCAACTGATAATTTTGTATTTACGCCAAATAAGCATAGCATTCCTTTACAAGGAATATTTTCATCTTTGATTTACTACACTCGGATAAACATACAAAGGTATTTTTTTGTTTAGTGAAAACCACGTCAAAGCAAGCCACATAATAGCTTAGATTTAAACAAAATAAGCGTAATAGTGGATTGGGAGTGTGTGGATAGATTTACAAACTAGCAGATTAATATTTGACGACCTCCGTGGCCGAGTGGTTTGTACGCCGGGTTTCATGGCTGTCGCCGACTCGAGAGGTCCCGAAATCGAATCCCGGTGGGGGCAGATGTTTGTGTGATGAATACGAGCATTTGTACTCCAGTCATGGATGTTTAATATGTATTTATATAAATATAACTTATGTATGTACAGTATATGTATTCTATCCGTTACCCTAGCATCCCATAACACAAGCCTTATAGTGCTTACTTTAGGGCTAGGCTAATTGGTGTGTTTTAAAACAAAAAAAAAATATATAAATAAAATGATTTTATATGTATACATAAATAAATATGCATACTTTTATACCTTACGATTTTTCAAAGCGAAAAATGAGTATTTGACTTATAGTTTGAGTTGATATCAAAACAATATTTGGTTTAAATTGCCTGGGCACGAACGGGAAAATTTATTCAGCATGAAATTATAAAAATATATATAAAATACTTGCAACTATTAATAAGAAAAATAATTGCAGGATTACTAAAAACATATAACTCTGTCCAGGCAGCAGGCGGGATCCTCCTGAATCGAGTGGTTTTTCTTAGATTTATAAATCTTGAAGTTCAAATAATTTCAATAAATATCTCTTGTCTATTAGACAAGTCCGTCCGTCTGTGGTGCTGTTTCAGCGGCCAAACCGTAAGAGATAGATAAAGAGAATATTTAAGTTATAAGTTAAGAATAGTCTGATAAGACTACAAACCGGATTTGAGTAACGTAGCACTTCCGGTTTTCGAGAAATCACGAATTTCAAACGAAACCACACAAAATCTCCGAAGTTCTCAATTAATTAAATACATTTTTTTTTTAAATCAGGTTTTGGTGAACATTAGGTTCACTGGTTTGCTAGTATAACAATAATTTAAACAAAACTGAGTACCTAAATTATGCAAAAAAAGTACTTACCCAATCCTGATTACGTTTAATAATGGATACTGTTAGTATTTGAACGCCGACCCCGGGATTTCAATAAAAAAATATAAGAATAATTTAAACAAAACTAGGTTCCTAAATTATACAAAAAGGTGCCCTAAGTTTAATAACGGATGCTGTATGTATTTAAACACCAAATTGCAAAAAGAATATTTGTAATTAAATAAGACTGGGTTCAGGCATTAAGCTATTCAGACACAGAAAATCTACTATGGTACTCGTACTAAGGTACGAGTTTGAGCTCACGAAAACTATCATAGTTTTCGTAATTGTAAATTATGTTTCTATGACCATTTGGTGAAAAGTAACCAAATATACTTAAAATTTCAGAAGACGCAAATGGTTTAATGATAGAATTTAAACACTGTATTTGTATTGAAACGAAAACAATAAAATCAGTACCCTTAGTACGAGTGGGAGCTCACGAAAACTATCATAGTTTTCGTAATTGTAAAACTCGTATAATAAAATAAAATAATTAACTACCATGCATTTATAAACGATTAAGTTATGTTTTTTATGTCTCAACCTTTAATTCTTGTTTTTTTTTGTATTTACCATGAATAAATATTAGGAAATACAGGGTCATTATGGTTATGAAGAGATAATATATAGAGAGTATAGAGATTATTTGCCAGGGGTAAGGACCTGGTGATCCGTAGTACAGGTTAACGCCTATTTCGGACACCAGCTTCTTACAACGCCTAATAATATTATTTAAGTGTTGCTTAACCTGTATTTTATGTGCCTTAATAGGGGTGATGACTGGGTACAGTAAACGAAATTCTATTTAGTCCGTCAGTTAGATGATCAAAAAATAATGGACACGTATTTTCTTTTTGGGCAATCAACCAAAAAATGACAAAGTTATAGCGCGTCAAAGTTTGGGAGTAGGGGCTCGTGACGTCACTTTTGAGTGAATTTTCACTTATAAGTGTACTCAAACATGACGTCATACGACTTTTCCAATCAATATATCTCTGCAATGTTTATATTATGTGAAAAAAGAAAAGATACGTGTCCAATACTTTTTGATAATCTACCTGATAAACGAAGAAAAAAAAATTAGTCATCATCCCTATTGTTGTAAGAAGAAATAAATAAATTTATTTATTATAATTAAAATAAGACGATGAAAAAGGACATTAAACAAAAAATAAATAATACAAAAAATATTATATTACCTCTTGAAAGTAGAGTGATGATCAGTGTCAACAGGATTTCACGTGGTGTCACCGGCACTGAGGACAAGCGGCGCGTGCGCACCGTCCTACGCCGACGCGGCATATTCCCAACGGTGCCTTCTTATTATGGGATTTTTGTTTTAACTACTTTAGAAATGTGTGGGGGGGTCTTTTTGGCGGGATCGGGAATCGTCACTTTAGCAGTTTTGTTATTCTTGTTAAAAATTGTGTTGTGGCGGATGTTCTTCTTCTTCAGCCGTTCTCAACCAGTCTGGTGTAGGCCTCCTTCAAATTACGCCATCTAGTTCGATCTTGCGCCACTTCCATCCAATTCGTCCCTGCAGTTTTCCTGACGTCATCCTTCCAACGCATCTGTGGTCTTCCTCTAGGTCGTTTCTCGCCCCAAGGTCTCCATTCCAAGACAGCCTTACCCCACGAGCCATGCTTTCGGGCTATATGTCCCGCCCACTGCCACTTCAAACTCGCTATGTGTTTAACGGCATCAGTGACCCCACTTTGCTTTCTAAGCCAGGTGTTAGTCTTGCGGTCTCGTAGTGTAATCCCTACTAGTTTCCTCTGGGCGACTTGTATCTTGTTGAAACTTTCTTTTGTCAGAACCCAGGTTTCAGCTCCATAGGTAAGTACGGGTAATATACACTGATCGAACAATCTGGCTTTCTGTACCGCTGTTAAATTCATTTTGAAAGCAAAGCCGAGTTTTGCGTAGGCAGCCCACATAAGACGGATGCGCCTATCTATTTCGTTTAGTTGATTTTCCTTTCCCATTTTAATTTCTTGACCCAGGTAAACATACTTTTCTACCTTTTCAATGACGGATTGGTTTACCTTAATAGTAAATGGTATGGGATCATTAGTCATGATCTTGGTTTTGCTGAGGTTCATTTCCAAACCGACATTTAAGGAAGCTTCATTCAACTCGTGGATCATAGTTTGGAGGTCATCAGGGTTATCACTAAACAAAACGATGTCATCAGCGAACCTTAGGTTATTCAGTCTTGTTCCCGGCAACTTAAGACCACGTTCCTCCCATGAAAGTTTTTTTGAAGACATCCTCCAGTACCAGGGTAAACAATTTTGGTGGCGGATGTTAGTGTCTAATAATGGTGGATTTAACCACTAAGTGTTCGGGTACATGCACAAGTGTTGGCGAGTGAAACAAAATAGCGGAAAGTGTCTTTCGACGTTCCCTCAAGAAGTCCACGGGGAGGTTCCAGTAAATCCCCACACATTTACTGAAACATGGGGAAAGGGGGATTGACTTGACTGCCGCTTACTTTGACTTGACTTATTACTTTGACCACGAGTGCTATAGTATTTGTATACCTACATTTAACACTTGACTTTGGCTAAACGCACAAGCCGTGCGAAGCCATTTAGAAAAAAAAGTGTGGGAAAACGTAAACATACTTAAAAAAATTCTTACTTAGATCTTGAGAATATGGCATCCTGAAAACTAGATTTTGACTATTCATCATCATCATCATCATCAGCCTATTAATGTTCCCACTGCTGGGGCACAGGGCTTCCCTATGGTAGGAATAGGGAGATTGGGCCATGACCCACCACGCGGGCCCAGTGCGGATTGGTGGGTGCTAACGACTGCAGATGCAGCCGGGATCAACGGCTAACGTGCCTTCCGAAGCACGGAGGAGCTCGAGATAGTAATTTTTGGTCACCCATCCAATGACCGACCACTGCGAAAGTAGCTGAAGTTCAACGATCGCAGCCGAACGCGCTAACCACTTGCGCCATCGAGCTCATTTATCAGATTTTGACTATTACCAATTGATTAACAACAAATATTAATAAAAGCAAGGAAATAATTAACCAACTTAAGAGTTCTTATGCAGTACTAAGTACTTACACTTTATAACATTCACAAAGTATATTATATTTTTATTTTAAAATAAAATCTAAAAAAAAATACTAGAATCTCGTAGCGAGACCGGACTCAAAAGAAGGATGTACTGACCAATTATGTTACCGCGACCTTAATGACCGTGTCGAATTTCTTCCAGAATTTCTTGTTGCTGCCTAGACCGCGTGGGATTATTCCTAGTAATAATTTCTTTATATTGAAACAATCACACACAACACACACAAACTTTTATTTGAATTCAATTAGTAAACAAATTAATAAAGACAGTACTCCAAAAGTTTTTGATTAAATATTAAGTAATGTATAAGATCGTAAACTACAAAAACAAAATGCATAAAAAAACTAAATAAACTTTGCACTATAAAACCTGGAATAGTTTTAAATATCATATTTTATGACATTTAATACGCGCACATTAATAAACGTTTTCGTACCTTCTTTGTTCCGTATTGATATATTTATAACACAAAGCGAAATCTTAAAATGTATGAAACAGTTTTATACTATGATTTTATTTATTTTTTAAACGGTTTTATTTAGCTCACCCCGTTTGTTTTAGTCTTGGGTCAAATTTAGTAATTCAAATTTCATCCTCTTCCTGTCAACCGATTAATCTGAAATTTTGTATACACTTTGAATTTTGGTGACAATACAATTATGTTTATTCATTATCATTATAAATTCAAGATGGCCGCCGCTACAAAATGGCGGATAATTTATGTTTTATTAATCCCATCAATATGGGTATCAAATGAAAGGGCTCAACAAGCAGAATACAATATACTATAAAAAATTGAAATCCAAGATGGCGGCCGCTACAAAATGGCGGATAACGTAGGTTTTATCAATCCCATCAATATGGGTATCAAATGAAAGGGCTCAATAAGCAGAATACAATATATTATAAAAAATTGAAATCCAAGATGGCGGCCGCTACAAAATGGCGGATAACGTAGGTTTTATCAATCCCATCAATATGGGTATCAAATGAAAGGGCTCAATAAGCAGAATACAATATATTATAAAAAATTGAAATCCAAGATGGCGGCCGCTACAAAATGGCGGATAACGTAGGTTTTATCAATCCCATCAATATGGGTATCAAATGAAAGGGCTCAATAAGCAGAATACAATATATTATAAAAAATTGAAATCCAAGATGGCGGCCGCTACAAAATGGCGGATAACGTAGGTTTTATTAATCCCATCAATATGGGTATCAAATGAAAGGTCTCAACAAGTAGAATACAATTTATTATGCTATATGAATACAATTTACTATACTATTTATTGAAATCTAAGATGGCCGCCGCTACCAAATGGCTGATAACAATTTTTTATCAATCCCACCAATATGGGTATCAAATAAAAGGGCTTGACAAGAAGAATACAGTGCACTATACAACCTGAATATTTAAGATGGGCGCAGCCACTAAATGGCGTATAATAATAGAGTAAGATCTTTGCAGGGACTACGTATAAAGGAGTTGGACTGCAATAAACTAACGGGCAAGAAACCTTGCAATAATGAAGCACTAAATGAATTAAACAGAATGCGAAATAAAAACTAAAAACTAGAAAATAAAAATAGGTAAAAAAACTTTTTAAGTTAAACGGTTTTATGTTAAACATACATTGCAATGTTTAAGATAAATGTACTAAAAACCAAAAAATAATAAAATAGATACAGTCGTGGGAATTATAAACATATGCATAGACTAGACTAAAATAAAACCGTGGGGCACGTCAATTGTCTACAAATTATCGACTTAATGTGCGATAGAAGAATAGTTTAATTCGTCGTTAGGCAGTTGGCGCGCAGACGGTGAGGAAATTACTATTTTCTTGCTCATGGAAATTCCAATAGTTATACACTCCATGTAAATAAAAGAGATGTTTCAACTAGTTTATCGTTAGACATTCACACTGCTGGCTGGCGAGGAATCGTTTCACTGCTCGTAGTTTGTCTTTAATCGACAAAACATATGATACTAAAAGTACTACTCGCTCACCACTATGAAACCCTAAAACTCGCTTATAATCGAGCTTGCTAGCTTGTTTCCACATTCTAGCCCTACTTATCACACGTCCATCGTTGTCGGTTGAACAACTGCCTAATTATAGTGTAACATTACAAAACAAACATTTTAATCAACGATTGTAGACAATTGACGTGCCCCACGGTTTTATTTTAGTCTAGTCTATGCATATGTTTATAATTCCCACGACTGTATCTATTTTATTATCTTTTGGTTATCTTAAACATTGCAATGTATGTTTAACATAAAACCGTTTAACTTAAAAAGATTTTTTACCAATTTTTTTTAATAATATTAATGAATAACGGCCACTCGCGACTGCGTCTGCTTTAACTTTAGTTTTTTGGAATCCCACAAGAACCAGTAATTTTTCCGGGATAAAAAGTATATCATTTAAATCCGTTCAGAAGTTTTTGTTAACAATCTCTCACATTTGTAATATTAGTAGAATAATGTTATGTTATAATGTTTCGCAAATTTATATCTAAAAATCTCTAAAAAAAGCTAACTTTCGACAACTCAAAAATGAAATAAACTTTCGGTAGCTTGAAATTAAATTGTAGTATAGGTGGAGAAGTCCAAGTAAATTTGAATGATTACGCTTCGAATTTTCGTTTTTTCACTCTACGCACTCGAAGTCGGAACGGAAGCACCCGCTCGTTAAGTATCATCGAATGGCCTGCAGACTCAATTTATATTGTTATCAAGTAAATATATCCAGGAACCGAAGACATTCGGCCAGTAATTAAACCAGTATCCGAGTAATTTTTAAGCATTTAACTGCTAGACGTTTAAATCTAAAGAAAAGTTTACTAGAAAAAAAATCCACGCGGACCAGGCAGCGGACGGGACTCGAACCCGCATCTTTCGCTATCCGGGCGAATGCACTGACCATTATGCTACCACTGAAATTTTCCTAGGCTTAAGCTGCAAGGCAGCGCCATCTCTTCGCACTGTAGGTAACCCACAATGTCAAATGAATACTTTTTCAAGTATTAAACATTTGAAAGAAGAAATAGCAATTATAGTTATGATTTTATTTATTTTTTAAGCATTTAACTGCTAGACGTTTAAATCTAAAGAAAAGTTTACTAGAAAAAAAATCTTTTTCTTTTTTTTTCGTTTTTTTCTAGTAAACTTTTCTTT